GATGGGTACAGTGAGAGTTGAAAGTGGGATCTACATCACCCTCTCCCACAGAAACCAAAGTGGCTGCAGGCCACTGCTTTGAAGTCACTGAAGCTCCCGGGGACCAGCGGAAGCGAATTTCCAGCAGGCCAGTGTGGTCCACTCAGCACGCAGCCCAGAGCATGAGTTAGCAGAACTCGCTTTTTAGGGTCAATGTGGTTACGCATTCTCTTCCCCCTACTGAGTATAAACTGAACCACCAAAGTCAAGGCTATCAGGGTCTCTACTAAAAAGGGGCTGTCGCTCTTCCCTCCCTGCTCATTCTGCCAATTTAAGACAAATCAGATAGACGAAGGACCATAATGTGGCCCGTCACTGGGAATGGAAACACTGAGGTGGTTAGCCTGAAGGAAAGAAGGATCTGGGATTTAAAAGATTTGACGGTCCATTTGTCAAAGAGAAGATAACCTTTGAGACCAGCTGAAAAGCGGGCACCTGGTCTCATTTCTGACCTGGTGCTCTCATTTGATTAACTGGAGACAGGGCAGGGCAGTGGGCAGAGAGACGCACAACGCTCTATCTTCCTTGTTCCTCTCCAACACCAAAAGGACTCAAAAGTCCATCTTGTGACCACATGTTAAAGAAATCTACACCCTCTTGTGCAGGCAGCATCCAAAATATTTAATTCCATCTTTCCAATTATCTCAAGTCTTGGGTCAAGACTAAAGCATAGCATGGGAGTAAAAGAAACAACAAGAAACTAAAAAGAAGAAAAACGGTTGGTTTAATTTGCTTTATTCCCTATGTACCTGATGAGAGATATCTATCTGGGTTTTTCTACTTATTGACAAAACTAATGTAATGGTCTGCTTCTGTGTCTAATCTCTCTGGAAAAATTTTACTTGTGTAAGAGCACACCATAAAAATATGTATTAGTTTACCAAAATATCCCACCATTGGGCTTGCTGGCTGAAGAAAAATATGCCTTGGGTAAAATGCTGCTACTCTCTTAGATCATCACTGAGAAAACAGCCTCTGAAAAGCTAGGTGACTCAGAAGAAAGCTGCCACATAAATACTAATGATAATGATAGGGTGGTTTGCAAAACGTATACTTTACATGTTTTTGGTACTTAATATGTGTTTTTAAAAAAACAAGACCAGTATGTTTATTTTTCAGTTTAAAATAAAGTATTTCACTCTTAATTGAGAAATAGCATTTGAGCTTTCGACTACCTTTAACAACAGGACGTGTCCCTAGAGACTGCATCAGAAGCAGTTCTCCACGGCTCCGTGTGACGGAAGCTTCAGTAGTCAAGTCACAACCTTTGGCCATGTTCCCTTCTGTATGTCTACTCAAAGGGCCTTTATAGAGCTAAATGGACCACTAAGTCCGTCAAGAGTCGTTGAAAGGAAGCACTTCCTCCAAGTTCTTTTTCATTTCACAAGGGCTAGCACACACCACAGAAAACGCATTGAAAAGAAGTCCGCAAATGCCCGTATTTCAGCTCCGCGAACCCCTCCATATGCAAAATGGCATCCTCTCAGCCCACAGATGTCTTCGCTTTTATTTTCCATATTAACTGCCAATATCTGAAAGCTAGAAGGATATCCGGGGAAGGCACCAGAAAAAACAGGTAGAAAAACATATATTTAAAACAAAGAAAAGGTACAGTGGGGAAAAGGAATGTTTCTGATAGAAAAGAAGAATGTGGCCGTCTGCCTCATCACTACGACCTCAAACAGCTTTTCCTGAAATGCTGAACTCCTTTTTTCTGTCTCACTCCCATTCTATGTTACAGCTTCTGGGCAAATTGTTAGGTTCTCCTACACAGGCAAGAAAAATGGAATTATGTTTTGGTTGCCAAAAGGCCAGTTCTGGGAAGGGCCACAAATTCAAGCCTCTGCTACTTTATGGAATGAGGAGGGATGACAGCTGGTGAGGAGGGCACCATAAAAGCACACAAGAACATCAGCCCCATGGACAACAGCCACCCTTTCTTACGGCCTTCACTACTGAGAGTGTGCGAATGACACAGAACAAGCTCTCTCCCTGCCACAGACACGATGCAGAGAGCACCGGCCCACCAGTGGGTCACTTCCATCACCACTGCTCACTGGGCCGAGCAGGGGAGGTGAGAGTGGTCCTGTAACCGCATTTCTCATTCCACTTCTGTTTATTCCCTCTATTGGAGCCCTCTGTAGGAAAATTATTTTCTGTATAAACAAATTCATCAAGTTAACTTATTCAAGGATGGAAATAACGGGTATCACATAACATTTTGCCAAACAAAATTGTCACTGCTCTATTCCAGTGCTTAAAAGCAGACTGCTATGGCAATTCAACCCCAGTACTAACATAACCCAAACCCCCTATTACCTTCATCACTGCATATTCAATTTACATAATTACCCTGCTATGCTATTCAGAATTTACATGTAGTTGTATGCATTCTACTTATCCTTGCTTCAGGATGCTATTTCCTTTCCAGACATAGCAGAACAATGAGATCACAATTCAACATACTCAATTCATCTCACCAATAGAAACCCTGTAACTCAAACAAAGTATTGGCTTGGTTAATCTCTATTTGATGACCATATTCTTGGATAGGCATCCCCATAGACAACAGGAAAGCCTCTCAGGAATGTCCTCACCATGATTCACCATAAATCAGCAAGTACCTAGAAGAGACAGTCACCAGGGCCAACAGAGGTGCCACAAGCTCTCTCGTGAGCGTCTGGGCTACATTACATTACCTTCCTTTTCACTTGCATGGCTCCATACTCAACAGAAGTGTTCCACTCAAGTATTTTCATACCACTTGGGCAAAAATGTATAGGAAGCATCGACTGAGACTACTAATCAGAAACAACAGTGGGGAAAACAACTACTTAGACTTCCTTCTTAAGAGAAAATAATCGCATGCCCTTCCTCCTACCAAAAGCGTGTGGCTAGTGCAAAGCCATTTCTCTGATTCAGCAACGCCAACATCCTCCTCTGCATAGACAGCCCAAACTTCACACGGGCAGCTGAAAGCATGCAGAGGAGGACTATGCTGAAGGCTCCTCTAGCTGAAGAAGACAGGTCTGTACCTGCACCAAGTCCTAGCACTCACTGGACTTAAAGCCCCAAGTTCCTAAGAGTAGTTTAGCTGTTGGGAAAATTTTAACAAGTTTCGTTGTTGAAGAAAGCAATATAATATCTGTCCCAATGTATTCTAGGGTGTGCTAAAGTATGTTTTTAAAGAGAAGGCCAGTTCTCTGTAGACTAAGAGCTTGAAAGAATATACTTAGAAATTTATGACCAGATCCACAATATAGTGGGTTTTTCTTTTCTTGCTTATCAGTCTTTACCATCAGATGATAGGTTCAAAAAGTTAAGATAGAAACTGAAGCCAGATACATCTTGAGGCTTAAACTAGTCTTGGTGTTATATTTTCTGAGCTCTCAAAAGCTTCCTTATAACACAGACTCTTACATTTTAAGTTTAAAAAAAACACAAAACTCTTTTTAGATTTTGCTGCACATGCTTTCTCTCCTACCAAAAGCACAATACTTAGATTTAAGCAACTGTATTATTTTCAAAACTCTTCATAAGTCATACTGAAATTCTAGCCAAGTCCTCCTCATTCAGATCCGTAACATTAACACATTACCTGCAAATAGCAACTACTTAATGAATTATCTCTCTATAATACATTGTGAGTTTAGAAGAGTGCTCATAAGGAGAAAATAATAATGGTTTTCAATTAAGATACCACATAGTGAGGCATCAAAGATTCCTAATTAAATGCAAATATTAAGTTGCCTACAAGATTGAGTTATTGAATATAATTTCAGTTCTTTTAACACCATAAAAAGTACTGATGGCAAAGATTTTTAAATAGCTATGATTCAAACTTTCAAAACACTACAGAATAATTATTGGGGGTTGTTTAGATATTTTCAGCAGGAAGTTGAAAACCCAAGTTTGTTCTTTCGCTTTGCAGCATCTATACAGAGTCACAGAAACAACCTCCTCTCTGTGTGTGCCTGCCCATGCACACACAGCAAAGCCTACCAGAGGCGGCTTTGAGCGAGCTCAAAAAGTTCCATCAGGCACGTCAGTCGCAGAACTGAGCATGCATATATGCACATGGGGGAGGCGGGGGAGCGTGTTTTCTAATGGAGTTTGCAAACAGGTTCAGATTAACCAGGTCTGACCAAAACTTACATCTGGAAACTATATTTTCTAACATGAGCCATATTCTGAAAAATAGATTCAGATGTTTGGAACTGGTTCAGAACAGTTGTAAGAAATGTTCAGTACAAATGAAAAAAATTAGTCTTCAATGTCTTCTCCTCTCAACTTTTCTTACTGAGTAAATATGCCTTCTGGGGGGTCAGAGAGCTGGCGGGGGAAGTAAGAAGAGGAAGCATGGCGCGGAGAAGGCTATTTCCTGGAACCCAAACTTCACGCTAGCCTCGCATGCGTAGCAGGTGGGTACCTGCCATTTGATTTCCCCCGTGTTGCCACGAGGATGTCAACACTGCCCCTGGAAGCCTTACTCCACCAAGTGGAGGGAATTCATGCTCCTGTTTCAGCTTTTGGGAATCGGGGCTGAAAAGCTTTGCGAAATAGAGTGGCCTGTCTTGCTTCTACAATCCTTCCTTCCGTGTTTTGCACTGTCACCAACAATGGGGTTATTGCTCTATATTTACAAATAATTATGCTGGCAACTTGGTTCTGTGTGTTAAATTTTTTTAAAAAAAAACGTTCACAAAAATACAAGGAAGTCGTTTTAAAATACGAATTTCTATCTGAAGTCTAAAATGTATTATCCAAATTCGGTAGTTCATAGTAACGGAGTCCCAAATTTATAATGCATAAAACCATTAACTTTTTGGAGTGGGCGTCAGAGAAAGAAACTCCACAACGATCATGACCATCGAAGTGCTCCCTCCTCCCTCTCCCCAGCCCCGACTCAGAGGCTGCTCATGCTGGAGCTGTGTTTCCTGGTGCTGCTGGGCGCGGCCTACCTGGACTTTTTGCTGGACTTGGGTTTTGGCGTGGCAGTTTTTGCTTTCTTTTCCTTTGGCTCTTTGGGAATCTTAGGGGCTTTCGGGGTCTTGGGTTCCTTGGGCTCTTTTTTCTCCTTGGGTTCTTTCAGTTCCTTCGGGTCTTTTTTTGCCTTCGGCCTTTTCTTTTTCTTTTTCTCTTCTTGAGACCCATCTAGTGAATTCCTATTTAGTTCTTGGTTATCAACCCCACCAGGGAAGTCCTCTTTACCAAAACTTTTACTGGGATCCTCTGCAACAATGTGGTTGTTTTTCTTCTTCTTCTTCTTTTGTTGTGGCTGCTGCTCTATGGATGGCAGGTAATCCTCACTCTTCACTAGCTGGGTGTTCGGTCCACTAACCTGAGTCATATCCGGCACTGGTTTCTCTAGAAAGGGCTCCGATGGAGAATGCTAAGAGACACAAATAGGAATTGAAATTAGTATATCATTCTTCGTAGTGAAGAAAGGAACTGAAAGTTACAGGCCGGTGTTTCTAAAACGTACTCTATACTCAAGGTAGCACACATTTTACCAACTGTATGTTGTAAAATGTATCTTTTTCTCTCATCCAAAAAACAAACAAACAAAAACACACATATTTTTTTGAACAAGAAAGCTTTTAAATAAACGTGAAAAGGGGCAACTTAATAATACAGTAAAAAATTATTTCAGGAAGAAAAATATTCTCATTCAGCTAAACACATTGTCCATTTGCTAAGCAGCCTGAGGAATGACAAAACAGTAGCAAAAACTAAACTATACAGGATGAATTTGAGTGGAATTCTTTTCCCCATGCGGGAATAGGAACTCAAAGGTACCTAATTAAGCCACTTTAAAAAAAGAACAAGTGTACCGAGTGGGCACTGCAAGATTCAGGGCCCGTGGAAGCTTAAAGTCAAAGTGTGAACACATCAATCTCAAACAGTGCTGGTCATTTCTGGTCTAAATAACATGAAAATGCCAAATTAAAAGCACAAAGTCTCCATCTGGTTACATTTCTTGTACTAATATGAAATGCAGATAGTGTTTTTCATAAATTATTACGTTTTAGATTTCCAAATTTAATTGAGGGAGAGAGAACCCAAATAGTCCTTGCAGCATGCCTTGTAGGAGATGGCATTCACTAGGTGTTTGCCCAAGATGGTCAGAAATACCACTGAGAATACCAGCAACTGGGATGGGATGCTCAGCGATCGGCTGGGATCAGAGTCAGGGACTCCACCTGGCAGTCATGATGCAAACCAGGCAGGGTTGGTGTTACCCCCACGGTCAAGCATGACATCTCATGATCCCTGACATTCCAATGTTTTCAGGAGTTGGACTGCCACTCACTTTCTGCCCTTTCCATACATTCTCCAGACACTCAATAGTAACTGTAATGTAAATAATAATAAGTGCTAGCCTTTACTAAACAATCTGACTATATGCTAAACATGTGCTGAGTACGCTACACCCCTGACACCATTCAATCCCCACACCAGCCCTAAGAGCTAGGGATGGACACTGACACGCTAAGATGCAGTAACGAGCTACGGTCGGTAAGTGACAGAACTGAGGCTGACATCAGAGCTGATGGCTGCAGAGCCTACACCCCTCGCCACAGCACCTCCAAAAGAGGAGAATGCCAGGCAGTCCAGGTCCAGGTCTGCAGAGGACTCGAGAGTAACTCAGAAGTTATGTTTTACCATTAGCAAGTACTATAAATCAGATTCCAATACAGTGGGGCCTTGACTTACGAGTGTCCCGACTAACGAGTTTTTTGAGATACCAGCTGTCTCTTGGCCGACTTTTTTGCATTGAGTTGACAGAGTAATTTGAGTTAACGAGCTCGGTCTCGGAACGAATTAAACTCGTAAGTCAAGGCCCCACTGTACAACTAACTCTTATTGAGCATCTATTTCATGCCATGTACTGCACTGGGTACTTGTAGGTAGGAGTAGTTCATCTGAATCTCAGAAGGAAGATGTGATAATTTTCCCCCATCTTTCAGAAAGGAAGTACAGTCTGAGCAGGTTGTGTGACCACCCAAGGCCACACAGCAGGGAACAGAGCAGAGATCTGAGACTAGGTTTCCTAAATCCAAACTCTGCCCATCCTGAAATCGGACACAAGGGTATCCTTTTGGGAAAGGCTCCACAGGTTCCACTTGATTTTTCCAAAGAGTTTGGTGACCTAAAATCACTTTTTAAAAAAGTCACTACCTGAGAAAAAGTAGTTACACTGTTTCCATTAAAACCTACCATGGTTATTAAAGAAATCTATATTCAGTTCTCCATCTGCACAAGTACGGGAGAAAGAGCCGGGAACTGTGAGGTAAGAGAGAAAAATTCTAGTCTTGGGCACTGCCGTTCGCTCTGTTCTCGGGGAAATCATTGCAGTCACCTGGGGCTCACTTTCTTCAACTGCAAAATGGAGGATTTGGGTCAGATGGAGTCCGAAGTCCTTTCCAAAATCCTCTGGTATTAGAAGAACTTAAAACACATCGTGCCCTTTCGTCATCATACTGAGAGAGTGAGCCTCAAAGAGTGAGGGCATGGAAGGGGAGAGAGAAGCAAGGGCACAGGTTTGAGAAGAACACGCGGATGTAAGGCCACAGGACCAGGGTCCCTGCGGGGACAGCACAGCCAACCCAGGCCTGAGGAAAGCACCCTGCCCTCGGTTCTCCCCTCGGTTCTTCCCTCACAGGCATCAGAGGAAAAGTCCACGGAGGCGCTGTCCAAAGTATCGTTACCTTGAGGACTCATGGAAATCTGAGTGAACTGCTTTATTCAAGCTGAAGTTGAATTCATTGCTCCATATTATCTTCCAATGTAGATCAAAGGAAAAAGCCCTATCCTATCCTATCCTATCCTATCCTATCCTATCCTAACCTATCCTATCCTATCCTATCCTATCCTATCCTATCCTATCCTATCCTATCCTATCCTATCCTATCCTATATGATAAAGAGCTAATATGCTAATTAGTCCGAACAGCCAAATGACCTTCCGGACGAAGCCAGGGCTGCGAGGGCTGACTCCCTTGCACAAATTTCGTGCATCGGGCCTCTAGGTTTTTTTATAAGGGACATAGAGATCAAACTTATTTGGAACAAGCTACTCTTCAGGAAACGTAAGAAAAAGTATTTCCTAGAAAGGGAAGGAAAGAGAAAAGTCTACTAGTAAAGAATGCATAGAGCTTAGAAGGGTGAATTAATTCCGGGTTTGTGTACCTGTCTTTAATCTGCCTGGCACTGGCTCCCGTAGCAAAGTGCCGGCTTCTAATGAGAGATGCCTGGTACACATTTCTAAATTAGAAAAAGCATAAAATACCAAATATAAAATGACTGAAAATTTATTTACACACTTTAGCATACAAATTATTTTAGATGCTCCCTTCAGTAATAAATGAAGCCATAAATTAGTACCCCTGAAAAAATTCAATCTTTCATAAGGAGGAGGAAATGTAAAGATTAAATACAAAAAATTATTAATCCTGTTTGATATGCAGCACAATTACGTTTTCAGGTGAAAAAGGTGTTCAGAAATATTATAGTGTTTACCAGACCTACGTCTCCTGGAACCTTTTAGAGAAAAGCTGTTTTTGTAAACATTTAACAAAGAACAGATGGCCTGCCTTAATCATGTGTGTGTGTGTGGGGGGGGGGGGGGGGCCTGGAGCTCACAGTAATACCCTGACAAAGTCTCCCGGCCCGGCCGTGTCCTGCCCCCAACCCCTCATGGTACATTCTCTAATGCTATTTAATTTTACAGTGGATATTTTCCCATCAATTCCCACTGTCTGACAGATAATCAATGCCATTAGCATCTGATATTACCATGTAGGGCATTCTTAAAACCCCTCATTCGTTAGAGCAAATGTGGAGAATGTTGGATACCAAAGGTATTTTTAAATACACCCTAAAGGACTTTCTGCTTAAAATATTTTCTATCATACATCAATATGACTGCTGGAATAGTATGGAATATATAAGGACTATGCCATGAACTCTTAGAACTAAAACAGAATGACTGATACTTAAACTATAAATGACAATGATCCAAGATATATATGTTGTCAAAAATATTACCATAAGCTAAAGGTAATTGTTTTTATGCTTAACTCCAGTTTTCATAACATATAAATTAGACAAACACACAAAACTTATATAAAACAGCAGAAGAGACAGGATGCACATGTAACCAAGGGAGAGCTGTGGCGAGGGCAATCCTTCTGCTACCTTCAAGCGAAGGTGGCTCAGCATGCTCAGGGGAATGAGGAGAGTAAGGCGAAGCTTTTCCTCCACCCTTCGTCAGCCTTTGCTGATTCAATCTTATTTAATCATGTTGTGGCTTCATATTCTCCAAGCCTCTACCTGTTAGCGTTGTCGAGTAACACAAGTGAGCAACATAGCACTAACGGGGTGCAATGTTTCCCACACGCACAATCTCTGCAAACTAACATTTTGCAGCAGAGGACACCTACGAACAAACATTTTGTTTACTGAGTGATACAAACAATCTAAAATCAAAATACTACTTTATGATAAAGAAAAGATGGTACAGCCCTAGCCAATGTTGCTCAGTGGCTAGAGCATCGACCTGCAGACTGAAGGGTCCTGGGTTTGATTCCAGGCAAGGGCACGTACCTCGGTTGCAGGCTCCCAGCCCTGGTCAGGGGCATGCGGAAGGCAACCCATCGATGTGTCTCTCTCACATCCGTGTTTCTCTCTGTCTCTCCCTCTCCCTTCCACTATCTCTAAAAATCAATGGAAAAAAATATCCTCGGGTGAGGATTTAAAAAAGAAAGACACTATCAACTGAACAAGAGCAAGATGGCCCTCCTGGGAGACACGTCCCTCTCCATAAACTGAGCTCAGAGAACCTAAGGTTCTGGTGCAGAAGGGGCAGACCAATTAAGACCCACGGAGCAATAACTACAACACATGGAACTGGGATTTAAATGATTTGTAAAAATATAAATATTAAGGACTCATTTAAGATTGAAACTTTTTTAAATGGCTTTGGAGACACATTGCTGTTGCTGGCATTCTTCACTCCTATTTTTTCCAACATAGGCAAGGTTCCTGGTCCCTTGACACTGTTTTAAGAAGGAATTCCAGTATGAGCACTGAAGCTCCATTGTCAGTGAAGAGGGGACAAGGGTTCAAAAGTGCATTTAGCAAGGGTTCAGGAAGTCCTGTTGAGATTTTAACACCCTTTTCTTGTCAATGATGTTGATAAAAAGAAGGTGCACTCAATATGTGGTGCCCAATTCATTTACTCATTCAACAAATATTTGAGATTTAACAGTGATCTAGGCAGCCACAGGGGCTGCCAGGTGGGCGCAGAGCACCTGACCCAGCTGACCCTGAGGAGGCTTCCTGAAAACCGTCAGCCAGGTGCCGGCCTGGGGTCCCTGCATGGAACCAG